ATACAAATGTGATTAAGTTATATTCATACATATAAATATATTATTTTTGTTATTGATACTTAAAATATTTATGGTTCTATTATGATTTTAAGTTCATGTCTGTATTCACAATTTAAATATTTAGTTGTTAAATTTATTAATAATTTAATAACTAATTAAAAAACTTAATAGAAATTGGATTTTATATGTAAGGATCATCTTTAATCTTTTGCAATTGTTTAGTTTAAATCAATTGGCTGTCAAGAGAATAGAATTTGTTGCCTTAATTGTCAGAAATAAAAGAAAAATTATTGACATTTCAATGATGAAGTTGATGATATTGAATAATGAAACTAATTTGTGATAGCTATATCTCAACGTTCAAGGATCTCATAACAGAATGGCAACTTTAATATAAATCAAAATAACTAAAATCTGTTTTATAATACAAATTCTCTATATAAGAAAATAACATTAATTAATGAATTAGCCCTAATTTATCATTTGATTCTTTTGTTATATTTGATGAAATGAAGAATCACATTGAATCCAATATCATAGGACCTTTGTAGAGAATCTAGAAAATTTTTGATGATCCATATATGCCATTAGAATTATAAAGAGCAAAAAATTAGATTGAATATCAAAAAGGTTATTTATTTCTTTAGCTATCTCTTTAAACTAATTGGAATTAGCTAAAATAATAAATATTTTAAATAAATCAGATTATGCAATTCAAATATTGGATATATTATTGTTAACTGATTCGATAATTTAGAATTTACATACTAAAAAAGTTATTAATTAATCCAATTTTTCAGAAAATTCATTATATAATTGAGTAAATTGTATATTTAATAAAAAAATTCAATAAGTAAAAACTGGGATAATTATGAAGAGATCTCTTTATGATTTCTATTTCATAATCTAATTGTAAAAACAAAGAAAAATTTTAATGAAATTATCTTAAAAGTGAAAATTATCTATACATAAAATACTATTTTAATAGATATAATATACTATTTCATTACATTAGATATAATGTCATACAAAATCATTCAAGTATTTTATCATGCTCCTTCTTCATAAAACTTTATTATAATTTCTAAGTAATTTTTTTCTTTCTAATAAAAATTCTATATGGCTTACTCATTTAAACTTTTGTGAGAGTTTAATTAAATTGAATGAAATCCTTTAGAAATAAAATATTAAAGTTATTTTGAAAAATAAATCTATTTTCAGAACATTTGTAAATGTAAATTTCAAATCTTGCAAGGCTATCTTTTTGTTAAAATCCTAATTTATATTCATAGCTTTACCATAATTATAAATTTTTCTAAACTGGGAATTATAAATTATATTCTTTCAAACTCCAAACTCATAATAAAATATTGTTTATAAAAGTTCATTTCTGCCTAATCTGAAAACTCAATAATATTTCTAAATCAAACTTTTTAATAGAATTTAATTAATTATTAAAATAATAGAGATATCAAACTAACAAAATATCATTTAATTATTCTGGTTTGATTCTATGCAAGCCCTAGTAAAATGAGAGGTATGATCCATTTATTTTTCTTAAAATTATTTATAAATTCATTCAGAATTGAAGGGATATTGAATTATTAAAATTAATAAATACAATAAAATTAATTAGTATTAAAAATATTTTATCAATTTTTATGTGTTTTTA